AGTGTCAGATATAGTCTCTAGTAGAACATTCTAACATGCTGATATTTTTACTCTGAACACAGACAAAGGTTGTAGATGCTTTGTACCAAGGAATATTATAATGCTGAAATGATAAACTGGTTTGGTCATTAGTAAATTCAGCTACAACCGTTGGGACAGGTTAATTTGAGATATTTTAATATCCACTGGAGTTTTAACAGAATGTAACCCATACCAATGCTTAAAAGTTCACAGATCAATAATCAGGTGCATACTTAGCAATCTTTTTTAAACCTACCTGTCATCAGTGCATATAATTTATGAAGAGTTACTAAGTTTGCTGTGTTTACAAATTTTAAAGCAAAAAATCACATTTAAGCAGACCATTCTTAGGGATGATAAAATATTGGTATGCAGGTTGCACATACATCTTACAAATGGTGCTCATTTACCTGTAGCCACATTACAAGTAATACCTGTAGATATGCTGTGTACTGCTGTAAAGCTGATTTTCAGTGATTTTTCACAATTCTAATGATTATGAATATCAACAAGTAATTCTAAACAAGTTAAAGTATTTATACATTGATTGAGAAATCTATGCTATGTGTACACAAAATACTCTGCTATGCTCCATTTCATCACATAATTGAACTGTATTCTGTTCTAAATAATAATACTTTTAAGATAAAAATCCTGAAAAAATAGTAAATTATTATAAAATTGGAGATAAAGAGATCAAATTATATTTATTTTAAAAGTAGACATGGTTAGTCATAGGTAACAAAATACTGTTTACCTCTTGTTCAAAAACCTAAAATTTTCACTTTCATATTGCAGAATGATACATACATTTAATTACACTAACATACGTATTCCAGCACTAGGTTTTAAAATAATATTTTTCAGCAATCATAAACAAACATAATGTAAAGTTCTTAACCTTTTGTTTCTGTAATGGGTGTCCACCCTTCATCCTCCTCTGCTTCTTCCCATTCTGGATGAATTTCAGCATGAAATAAAGGCTCTTCATTTTCTACATGTTCAGATTCACTCATGAAATCCAATGCTCCTCCTGTACATATACAGTACAAATATGTTACACATAAGTTCAAACAAGCACAAATCCTGCTTTAAAGTTAGTTTTATATACATTTATCTATGAAAATAAGCCTATACCTATATATAATGTAATTAATGGATAAATTTAAATACACAAAGTCCAAATATTTTTATAAGCTGTAAGAACCATACAAAAAAAATTAACTTAAACATATAATTTGCATGTACTTTTCATGATCTTGTAACTAAAAGCCAATCTGTATTTTCTTATGGGTAAAAATGTAACTCTCTGATGTAACTGGTTGGTCATCTATTCAAAGATTTTCTAAGTTCTTTTCTCTTTTCCTTTCTGTACCTATGATTATGTTTAGATCAGGTTTTTGTAAACAGAAAGCTAAACACTTATCCTACAATAAACAGTAAATACACAGGGTCCTCATTATTCATTGCATCTCTCTGCATCATTTCATTATTTGAATGTTCACCAATTACTACCCATGTATAAAACACGTTGCCTTGTTTCATTACTAGAGAGTTCCAACATCATCTCTCTGAATCATTTCATTATTAGTATGTTCACCAATTACTACCCATGTATCAAACACGTTGCCTTGTTTCATTACTAGAGTTCCAACATCATCTCTCTGAATCATTTCATTATTAGTATGTTCACCAATTACTACCCATGTATCAAACACGTTGCCTTGTTTCATTACTAGAGTTCCAACATCATCTCTCTGAATCATTTCATTATTAGAATGTTCACCAATTACTACCCATGTATCAAACACGTTGCCTTGTTTCATTACTAGAGAGTTCCAACATCATCGACTATGTCTCCAGATGTAGCATTTACCAACATTTTTGAAACAATGTCGCCTTGTTTCATTACTAGTGTTCAAACATTGTCAACTACTTTTGCCAAGCTTACTAATAACCTGTTTCAAAGTGCTCTTAAAATACTTTTCTGTCGTACTAAAGCCATTGCAAAAACTTCACTAATTTTTTGGTTAGCATGGGAGAAGAAAAAAGAAAGACAAACGTTTTGGTTCTTTAGCTAGTTCCCAGTTCTCCACTTTAGCAACACTTTTCAATGATACTGGGAGTCTCACAAGCTGTGAAACACTTGATAATGGCAATTTGATGCTCAAATAAAGCTTTAACTTTACTTTAGCAGTTATTTGTAAACATCATAGAATAATAGACTGAATGTGGCAGCCATTTTTTCTCAGCCCATCCCTACATACTACTGTAATTTATTCCATAAATCATGTTATAAAACAGCGAATTTATAATGTAACAATACAGCTGGGTGATCAGTGGAATTTGATAATCAATTAATCATTAGGCTCATTAGTCAACTACACTCAACTAATCGATTATTCTCACATGAGAATTGGATAGTTCAAATAATCAAAAATAGTAATAACTGGAATATAACTTTACTAGGTGAATCATGACACTAACTGGTTAAGCTGAATAAACTTGAATAAATTAAAAATAATAATGAGAAATCATAATGGCCACATTTCAAATACTTGGATAACTATAATAATTAAAAACAACAAAAATGACACTAATTGATGTAATCAATAATCATATGCAACTAATTATAATGCTTACTAGAAATTACCCAGCTTTAATAACTTTTATGTACACAACATGTTTATTTACCCATAAATTTATTGTTTAATTTGCTAGTTTTTGGCATTTAAAATTATTGAACTTTCAAATGTGTACATTTTCCATCTCACCATATTACTGTAAATACACTTTAGCTAAGGTATTGTGTACATTTCACATCTCACCATATTACTGTAAATACACTTTAGCTACAGTATTGTGTACATTTCCCATATCACTTTTATTATTTACTTTACGTACACTTTAGTTACAGTATTGTGTACATTTCACATCTCACCATATTACTGTAAATACACTTTAGCTATGGTATTGTGTACATTTCACATCTCACTTTTATTTACTGTACATACACTTGAGCTACAGTATTGTGTACATTTCCCATATCACTTTTATTATTTACTTTACGTACACTTTAGTTACAGTACTGTACACTTCCCATCTCACTTTTATTTACTGTAAGTACACTTGAGCTAAGGTATTGTGTACATTTTCCATCTCACTTTTATTATTTACTTTACGTACACTTTAGCTACAGTATTGTGTACATTTCCCATCTCACTTTTATTTACTGTACATACACTTGAGCTACGGTATTGTGTACATTTCCCATATCACTTTTATTTACTGTATGTACACTTGAGCTAGTCTGCTCCATTTGTCTGAAAGCAAGCTGTTGCATAATTTATCACAAGTTCAATAGATTTCATATATATACTGATTAAGATAACACTTTAAACCCCTAGGATACAGATATCAATATGCCCTCTGATCAATTTTTCTCAGAAATCATTTACGCTTGCACATTACAGACATTATATTGATAATTTGACAAAACTTAGTTAAATTACTTACTATCAGCTCCATGAAGGGCTAAAAACACGGCAGCAACAGCGACCACCAGGATGGAGAAAAGAATGAAAAAAACACATTTTGCAAATCCATTGGGCTCATTACAAACTAACAGTTCATTAACATCCCGCTCACTTTCTTTAGAAGTATGCTCTTGTGATTTCTCTCGAGGTGTTGGAACAGATTCCTCTGCAGACAAGTCCTCTGTCAACAGAAAACAAAATTACAGTAAATACAAACACACATGAATTTCATACACATATGCTACAATTTATTGTATACTTCCAGCATTAGTTTTCTAGATATCATTATAAAACACTGGAAAAATTTTTAATTACACCCTTTATTGATTATATTGTTAATACTATCAACAAAGCAGCATATCTTATGAAATCAGAAACAACATACAGTGAATATATTACATTACCAAATTAAAATTTCAATGTAAAAAAATGTAACAAGTACATTAGATACACGTATAAAACATTGAAATACATATAATATATATATATATATATATATATATATTATATATATACTATACGACACAACACATATACGAAACTAATAATAATATAACTTAACGTAAGTAAAGGAAATAAAACTAAATAACTTACTAACTA